AAAATAAATGTTGAGTAATAAAAGAAACAAGCTTACTTATTACTTATAGTGAATGCAATGCAATATCTGGCAGGACAATAAAAAAATTTAAATTGGGAAAAGCTATAAACGACAATGAAAGCAACACCTTAAAAATGCAGTAGTCGGCTTTATGTAATGGAAAAGGTAACCTCATTTGAGAGAGATTGAATTCTTGGCAAAGAGAAGGATAATGTGTAATTTGGACTCAAAACTGGCACTGAAGAATTATCTATTCAAAAAAATAAAATTTCATAAATTGGATGAAAACTGTGGAAATGCATAAACAACATCTGATCACACACACACATTTTGAGGATTATAGATATAACTATATATATATATATATATATATGTATATATGCAGATTTCATTGAAAACAACTGACAACTGAAGATGAATGGAGGTGTAACATCGCCATCACTCCAAACACCTTCGTAATCACCATTAGATTCATCCAACTCTTTCTGAATCCCCTGCACTGTCCTCAGATTGACACCTAAACACACTGAAATGTTTGTATTGGATCTTCTGGCACGAATGCCAAGCAGTACAGCATGCCATTTACAAATTTCTGACAGAGTGAATTGTGTCATGATGCTTTTTTTCTCACAAAGGGTGCCCAACTGACCCTACTATACTATGCATTTGATAAAATCAAAAATAAATAATGTTCATGTGCGAAATTAAAAATATGGTGACAATTAAAAAAAAAATGGTGACAATTTTATCCATGGCACCATGTTTGTGTGTTTGGATAATCAAAATAAAAAGAAAAAAATAGTCAGATTTATAATCCACAGTTCATTAGAATTTATTTTTAAAATCAATGCTCGATACACAGTAGAGTATAATATTATTTAAAAATATGTATTCATCGCGACACAGAAATTACCATGTTTCAGAAATAGAAACTAAACTTTAAATTAAAGTTTTTGTTCCATTCTCAAGCGATATTTAACTTAAAAAAATGTTTTACTGTTTTTAAGCTAAATAGTATTATCTAGTTTAAGTTAGGGAGGAGAGGGATTACAAAATTTTAAAAGGGTGTTGCCTTTTTTTGACAAATCAGTATACAAATCTTATTTAAGATGGCAAAGTGTAAACATAAGTTAAGAGATTTATATATATATATATATATATATATAATGGAAAAATGATATAGAAATTTTTATATATCAAAAAGAATTTTAGCAAAATATCTAAGACAAAGTGTGTATATGTCTGATGGCTGCTATCTTTTTCAATACGACCATCACAAGATATCTTTACAATACTCAGTTGTCACTTACGATATAAAGCACTGCCTATACATCAAATTTTTAAAGATGTTGCACTTGGTCTATTTGACTCTTTAAGGAAAAACAGACCGTATTTCCTGCCCTCTATTTTTAAAAAAACAAACAAACTTGAAATAGTCACCATGCAATGTACTTACAAATGATAACTAAGATGATCCATTATCTCCTGCCTCTGCTCTTCTCTCACATTTTGCCTGTATCTTCTATTTCTCTCCCTTATCCCTTCCAATACAACTAAGGTGATCTGTTATCTCCTGCTTCTGCTCTTCTCTCACCCTTTGACTGTATCTTCTCATTCTCTCCCTTATCCCTTCCAATGCAACAAAGATGATCCATTATCTCATGCCTCTGCTCTTCTCTCACCCTTTGCCTGTATCTTCTATTTCTCTCCCTTATCCCTTCCGATACAATTAAGATGATCCATTATCTCATGCCTCTGCTTTTTTCTTACACTTTGCCTGTATCTTCTCATTCTTTACCTTATCCCTTCCAATACAACTAAGATGATCCATTATCTCATGCTTCTGCTCTTCTCTCAGCCTTTGCCTGTATCTTCTCATTCTCTCCCTTATCTCTTCCAATACAACTAAGGTGATCTATTATCTTCTGCTCTTCTCTCAGCCTTTGCCTGTATCTTCTCATTCTCTCCCTTATCCCTTCCAATACAACTAAGGTGATCCATTATCTCCTGCCTCTGCTTTTCTCTCACCCTTTGCCTGTATCTTCTCATTCTTTACCTTATTCCTTCCAATACAACTAAGGTGATCTGTTATCTCATGCTTCTGCTCTTCTCTCAGCCTTTGCCTGTATCTTCTCATTCGCTCCCTTATCCCTTCCAATACAACCAAGGTGATCCATTATCTCTTGCTTCTGCTCTTCTCTCACTCTTTGCCTGTATCTTCTCATTGTCTTCCTTATCCCTTTCAATACAACTAAGATGATCCATTATCTCCTGCTTCTGCTCTTCTATCACCTTTTGCCTGTATCTTCTCATTCTCTTCCTTATCTCTTCCATTGCAACTAAGATTATCCATTATCCAATGCCATTTCTATTCTCTCACCCTTTGCCTCTATCTTCTCCATTCTTACTTAGCCATGTTTTTTAAGTCTTAGAATAAGGAATACAGTCTTCCTTTCTTGTCTCCCTAAAGAATTTTAATATATCTCAATTTTTATATCTATTCATCCTTACCTTCAGATGTTTATGTAGCTTAGTGGTTATCAGCACAGAACTTGGGACCTGTGACCTGAGTTCAAATTCCTTTTATTCTTTTTAGCAAACTGCAATTTTTATTCCTTTTCATTCCCACCGGCCTTTCAATCTTTTGCCCATTGTCTCTTGATATCCAACCAACAACTTTTTCTGTCTTTCTCCATCTCTTTCTGTAGATTTATTTTTTTCCTTTCATCTGTTCTTTGTTTTTTTTTTTTTATTTTCTTTTTCTTTCTTATTTCTTCCTCTATACCCTCTCTCCTAGTCCTGGGTATGATGATAAACTACATCTGGCAGCAAGACCTTTGATTGGGAGATAGGAGGTTTTAAGGAGTGTGGAACCGTCTCTTAATTGCCGTTGTTCTCAAGTTCACCTTGACCTGGGGTGGTAGCACCTGTCAGGGTCCCAGCTATGGACAAATAGTGAACACCCAAACAAAAACACATCCTGGGTAAGATGATAAACTACATCCAACAGCAAGGTCTCTGATCGGGCGGTTTTGAGGAGCGTAGAACCACCTCTTAATTGTTGGTGTTTTCAGGTCCACCCTGACCTGAGGTGGTAGCACCTATTAGGGTCCCAACTATGAGCAAATAGTTAACCCCCAAACTGGGATCAAAACACTATGAAAGTGTAAAAATAGATTTTAATACCAGCAACACATTTTTGAAGGGAAAAGATATTAAATAACCCATTAGGGTAGATATGCCATAAACCAAACGAAACAAAAAAAAGAAAAAAACTGTTAAATTATAAAAATACATTTTTATGGTAAAAATACCAGCAATACATTTTTATATAAAAAAAATTACTAACAATACATTTTATCTGTAGTTGAAACCATAAAATTGTGTTCAAAACATTTATATTTTGGTATTAAATAACCCATAGAGGTTGATATGTTGCTAAACAAAAATCAACGAACCAAACCTCTTCTCTCCCTTCAGTTTTCCCACCATCTTGCCACTTATATAGGTTTCTTGTTCAGAAAGTATAATTGGTTTCAGCTCAAAAGTGCCAAAGTTTAGGAACAGATGCTACTCTCTAATCTTAAGTAGAAAGGCATAACAGTTTTACTTACAAACAAGCAAAATCACTGTATAGATACTTAAGCACACCCCTGTCTTTGAGACAAAAGACATTCCATTACACTGATTTCCAAATAAATTGTCAACATATCCAATAACATTTGTAAACAATTGTAATCAACACCTGCCTACTTTGTGTATTGTGCTAATAGTTTTTTTTAAGCTGAGTAAAAATTTGTAAAAACATACACTTGTATATAATACGCCCTCCTCTCCCCTTACTTTTATGAATGATTGATTTTTTTAATTAACGACACATCAACTCCTTATGGTTCATTTAATGCCAAAATTTAAATTTCTTGGGAGCTTTGAAGTAATAAAAATATGATACATGTTATTCTGTTTTCACAATTGAATACATGGTAGATGATACTCAGCTTTTGTGCATATAAATGTTTGTGTGGACATAATTACTAGAGGTGGTGATATGTGTGTTTTAAGTTGCAGTTTTGTTGAAGTTATAATTTAAAATATAGTTTGATTCCTGTAAGAAATTGTAGGATATTATAATAATTAATGTCATGAAAAAGTTCTTTCATGTTGCTTGTTTGATTTTGTTCAGCTTTAAATCAACCTCTATGGATTATTTAATGCTGAAATCTAAATATCTTGTACGTAATTTTATGTTTGCAATTACAGATATTTTGTAGCTTATCATCATACCCAGGTGTTATAGTGGAATACACCTATTCTATTGTTAATAGACGCTCCCACCTATAATAAGTAGGAGTAGTAGCAGTTGCTGAGGGCTCAGTGAGTTGGTCTGAGTTCAGTCTGAAGTTGGACGACCAGCTGACCGGTTGAACTCTCTGCCTTCAGGCGGGGAGGAACCCGAACGAGGCTACGCCGAAGGGCGGAGTCTCTTTCGGGGAGGAAACCGACCATGAACCTGTTTGTACGGGTTCAAAGGGCATATTTTTGGCTGAGGCTATGGGCTCGGAGATCCCACGTTAAACTGACCTTGTGCCACATGATGCTCTCGTGGTGGGGGGTGACTAAATACTCTCAGTGAGTTGGTCAGTCAGTCGATGTCGGATGACTGTTAGTCGGATACTAAAAGTATCAGCGACCACCACTAGATTTCTCTGCATCATTACCTATTATATCAAGTTCCTAACATTTTGTACGTCGAACCTATTTTAGGACCGACTTAGTGAAATACAATCCTCCACTGTGAAACTACTCTATAACACCAGGACAATTATTTTGCTTTTGATTTTCTTTCAAAATTTCTCATATCATACACAATAAAATTTGGCAAGTCTTTCATGAACTTAGAAATTTTTTCTTCTAGGTTTGACAAATTAAAAATTGCTTAATGCTTTTGTTACTAAGTACTGATGAGAATCAATTTATTTCTTTTTTTTCTTTAATCGCAGGAAGATATCAGTTTGAATGGCTACAAACAATATATGGCATTCCAACATGCTCCAGCTCCTCTTACCTTTGCAGAAGAAGAGTTGGAAATGATCAAGAAAAATGAGGTTTGTAGCAACAATCTATTCCATCTAATATTGCCTATTAACACTATAAAATCTCCTTTGGAAAAAAGTATGAATTCATCTCTTCCCCTCCTAGCTATGGTTTAAATAGTAGGATTGTCTCTGGATTAGTCATAGTTATCTCCCAAAAATTGTTAATGCAATATTCACTCACAAAAAGAAATAATTTTTTTAACAATAAAAAATTTTCTGACTTTAAATAACCCACAAAGCTATAAAAAAAACAATCACTTGTGATAAAATGATAGGTAAAGATCAAGTCACAGCATATTCATCTTGATTGCCTTACTCCAATGTTTTAGCTGTTGTACGTTCCAGTTGTCTTCACATGTCTAAATATTTTCTTCTTCAGTGTATTTCTGGAGGATAATGCTATTAAAGCAATAATAATAATAACAGATAAAATTAAATGTTCAACTTATCTTCTTGACTTGTAGTTTTGCAGATATGGTATCCATTATTAACACGCACACACACACCACACATACTACAGACCAAATGTTTTGGGCCATTTCCTGGATTTCAAAGAGTTGCCTAAAATTTTAAGGTTGTGCATCTTTTTCAAAATTAATTTACTAGCTCAATTCAGGCCAGAGAGACTTTCTCTTTCTGAAGTGTTTTGTTGTATATTTAATACTTTTAACCACAAAATTAATCTCTTTCTGCATAAAGTTTCCTTAAAATTTTGTCTCTTTTTGCCCAATCTGGTTAATGATGATCTTAGAGCTGATGAATTATAAATTCTAGTTAATCCCCTTTGTAAAAAAAAGTGGGCACTATATCCTATGAGTTAAATAGTTTATTCTTCTTCTTCTATGCCTCTTAGGGCTGCAACAACACCTCTCCAATGGGCATGGTTTCAGGTGATCCTCTTCAGCTCAGCCCATATCGTGCCAGCTGCCTTCACCTCTGCATCTAGTTTACTAGAGGTTAATTAAAGCAAAGAAGGCATGAACCATACTAAGTATTAAATCCAGAGGGTTGCCTCAAACTTTTGGCCTATACTGCATATAGCAAAGAAAGATTGCCCACATATGCTTCTTATAAAATGTATATTTAGGGAGCATATTTTCAGTGAAACATGTTTCATTGAATAATATAGATATATTGTATCTACTTATTTTTTATGTTAATCCTTTCAAGTGGTCTAATTATGTCTTGATCTTGAGATGAGGTCCATCAAGGCATTATTATTTTTCAACCCAAGAATTTTGACCTTTTCTGAGATCATCTTCAGGGGTAAATTACTTATATAAACAAGCTATTGTAGATGTGAGAAACTGAAAGACACACTTAAACATGTTTGTGTAGTTATACTAAAATTTTGTTTTAAATGTGCATTCTGTTGTCGTAGTGATTTTTAAACACACATAAATGTGCTCTGTTATAGATATTTTAGAATTTATAAAAATTTATCCATTCTATAACACTTCCTGCTGCCACCTACACCCTGTGGTTTAACCATGTTTAGTGGTCCAGTCCTCAGGGTCTTAGGACAATGTTTTTAACCATTGGTCCAAGCTGGTTGTTAGTTGCTGTCCACTTTGATCCATACCAACTCAGTCTCCATTGTGTTCTTGATCTCAGAGCAGTGGAAGATTGAATGTTATAGTAATCACAACACCAGTTCAAGCTGTGGCGGGTGCTATATTAAGGACGAAATATCTTCACAACGAAAAAATAAAATGAAAGGGTTAATCTTCATTTAGTCTATATGGTCTTGGTACAATAAAAAATGAACCCTTTTCTGCATCATTCTCTATAGTGACACTATGCCTCACCTAATAATTTGGGTTCAAAGTTCTTCGGAATCAGGAAATCTGGTGGCAGCTGATGTAGATTCCAGAGGTACTCAATACGGGGGTTCTCATACCAAGCTCTCGAGCTCCCAAAGCCATCTGCTTATATGCACTTCAGCCACAAACATGGGGCTGAAGAGTTCTTGGAATTTGCTGATTCTTTAATTTTCACATTAATCTAATGAGTGTTCCTTGTTCCCTATTTCTGCTTTCTTAATCAACTTCCTGAAATTTGGAGAATCATCCACATTCTTGGGAATAGTTACAGGGATTACTCCTCCCCCAACTTCAACCTGCTTCACTTCACATCTTGCACCACCACTTCACACAGGTAGCACTAAATCCATCCCTCTTCCTCCTCAGCATTCACTTCAGCCCATCCCAACCATCTTTGTGACAAATCTAATTTTCAAATCTTGTGGGCAAAAGGGCATAGTTTAATCTAATCACTAATTTTAATTCTCCTGCCTCTTCAAGGTAGAAATAAAATTCTCTCTCCATTCCTGGACCTACCCATGTTCAGGGAAAACACAAACCAGATCACCCTCTCAGCAATTACAAGATCTGTTTTCATAACTTCGACCCTCACAATGGGTTTGGTTCTTGCTTTCATTTCCCAATTCATTTTTGGCAATGAATTTATATTTGTTTACCTAAATTCTCAAGGAAAAGATAAAGTTGTTCTTCATCTGTGGGATGATCACAGTCTTAGTGAAAATACAAACCAGATCACCTGCTTGTCACAACAGGATGGATTTTCATAATTTCAACCCTCACAATGTTTGTTCCTTGTTTTAATTTCCCAATTTCCTTTTGTCAACAAAAATGTACTTGTTTACCTAAATTCTCAAAGAAGAGATGAAATTGTTCTCCAAATCTGTTTTCGCTTGGATTCCAGACTCTTGATAGATAAGAAAAATAAACTTTAGAGGAGAAGAAATCCAGATAGTCCCATTTTCACCAAGGAAAATGTCTCCACTTTCTCTCTCTCTATCTTCCAGCCTATATTCCATTTTGGGCTTAAACCTTTTCTGCCCAGAATCAACATTTAACCACCTCATGGCCTCAGTGTCACAGTTGTCATAGAACTTTTACAGAACAAAAATTTCAATATAAAGGAGTTGACTGGAAATTGGTAGAAATGTAAAAGGGCATTAGTATATAAATGTTATATGTACTTTAATATGTTGTTGCTATATTTGTAATAAATTTTGTTTAGTGTTTATTGACTTTGATATGTAGATAAAAAAAAATTCAAGAGATAAAAAGCCATCAAAGATAATACTATTGATAATAAGACTAATAATATTTATTGTATATTAGTAGGCCTTTTGGACAAATGAAAGCATGATGAGAAAAGATATTAAAGATCAGAATTGTTGGATATGCCTGTGTCCTTTCTCAGTGAGAAATAAAAAAAACTTATTTTATCTACATACATACATACATACATACATACATACATATATATATATATATATATTTATTTTTAATCCTCTCAAATTCATGGATCAATTACCTAATGTTATTAAACTCATTAAGGAAAGCGCCGTAGTTTTTATCATTCCTTTTATTTTCCAAAATACTTTCAATCTCATCCAAGATCATTTTCAGGGGTGAATTGCTAAGACAAAAAATTAAAAAATTAATGTAATTGATAGTTGTGAATTTTTTTGTAAATGCACATGAAATATGCTCTGTTAATTCAAAATTTAACATTATCTAAGGGAGATAATTTATATTTGTAAATTTTAAAAAAATAAATAGACATACGTCTAGATTATTCAATCAAATATGTTTCAATGGAGATAGTGATTTTCCAAGTGTAGCTTAGATGTGGCACAAGGCCGAAATTATGGGGTACCCAGTGAAGATTGAACTCACTACTCAATCGTAATTGTTCTAGCGAGCCGAGCTTGCTAACCATTACATTGCCTCGAGGTGCCCTATGTTTGAATGGAGATATGCTGCCTATATATATATATATATAGCTGGCCACTTGTATTCAAGGATACCCGTCTACTAGGGTGGCTAGCCAATCCCTATTGCAGATGCCCACTTAGGCACATTTGTGTTTGTTCAACACCCACAGAGCCAACCTGTTGTTTATACTACAACTATGCTGAGCAGACCTTAGCTCCAGTTTCTGGGAAAAGAGTGTGTTATCTAGCATGATCAACAATTTGAACAAAGCCAGGACACTCAATGATATGCGTGGTATGGTTTTCAGGCACTTTCCAAAGGTGACCGACATTGGGATCCCCCCCCCAGTCCGATAATATCAGGAAGTCTCCTTACTGACAAATCAGCCATGGTGAGATTCAAATCTGGGTCTCATGATCAGAATGCAAATGTTCTAACCAGTTGGCCACGTGCCCATATATACATACATATATATATGTATATGTGTCTGTGTAGCATCCCTCTCAGTAACCATTACACATTACATCACCATAGATGATTTCAAACTTCCAGCTTTCCAAAGAGTAGCAGTATATAGACAAAGGAATTTTGTCTACCTGCAGAAGAAACCACATGGTTCTTGAAAATGAATGAGACGGTCGAAAGAACTTGAGCAAAACAACAACAGAAACATAAAATTTGGACAGTTTATCCACAATACTCAACACACACACACACACATATATATATATATATATAAATTTAATAAGCTACAGGTTTGGACATTTTCTGGGATTCTTTGAATATATAAACATAGTTGAATTGAGTGGTTACTCTATATTCATTAGATGTTCTCTATAAGTTAGAGAAATATTGTAAATTTTTAACGTTTAAGATTCTTTTAATTTTGTGTCTTGGTTTTGATGTTCATGTGTCACCAACACATTTTGTATTATATTTCATGTCATAATAATAAGCTTTACATTTAAAATGGGAAATTGTTAAAAAGAAAAGTAATAGAAATCTAAATTACATTGCATTTTTGTTTAATCTTTTCCTGGTGAATGTGGTACTTGTGTTTGTAATTATGGTTAGGTCAGCCAAATATGAAAAGCAGCATCAGCAGCAAAGTCTTTTTGAACACACATCTTGAATATGTAATCTCACACACACACACACATATATATATAATATTTTTTGTTTAAAAATATGATTCCTTCGCTACATAAGAGTTCTCATGTTTCAAAGACGAGAGCCAAAATAATCAAATAATTATTAAAATTAAGTTAGATTGTGGTGTTTAGTCCCGTTTCATCTTCAAGCGAAATTTTAGGAATAAGCTATCTGTCGGTTTACGTGTATTTTTAGGCATGGTCCGTTACAGAATTTGTTATTGTGGGAGTGGCTAGACTATTTTCCTTCGTTAAGTGGTCAGAGAGTTAATTCTTATCAATAGATTCATCATCTTCTAAGAGGTTTTGCTAAGGTTGAGTAGGGTATCATATATATATATATAAGTGAACATAGAAGTCAACACTCAGAGGCGTCAGGCTTTTTCATGCTAGACACAATTGTCAGGTCTCAAAATTGCGTCTAGCATGAAACAGCCTATAATTCTGAGCATTATTTCAATGTTTTTTTTATATCTATATTTTACATATTTTTATAATGTTGATATTGAGCACTTTATCCTATAAATATAGTACACCTTAAAACTATATTTCTTTACATATATATAAAATAAATTTTTACTAATTTGACTGATTTGTATCACTTTAAAAGTTATTTAGTGGATACTTGAATTTGAGTAGGTGATCCTTTTATTTATTAGTATATCTATTTTCACCTACCGGCCTGAATGCTTGAGAAATTTTATTAAAGAAAAATTTCTGCTCTTTTGCAGAAATCAAACCTCGTCCCTCAGCATCTTACCACTTGGTCATGAAGGAACAGATATATATATATATGACAGTTTTCAACAATGATTGGCGACAGTCTGTTTCAGTCTTGAATACAATCTTCAGGGCCTTTTTTCCATTTAAGCTTGAAAAAGACTGTCACCACTCAGTGTTGGCCTCTGTGTCCACTTTTATATTTACATCTGCTCTATCCCTTACATTGAGCCCTTTTACCCATAAATATAGCATACACTAAAATTTTATTTTATCATATATATATATATATATATATATATGTGTGTTTTATATATATATATATATATATATATATATGTTATATAAATGATTTTTTATATGCGTACAGAAAAAATCAAAAAAATCAACCTAACACCAATAAGAGCATCTCAATTAGTGCATAAATCAAACTTAGTCTAGAAAAAAAAAGGAAGGGAAATACAAAATGAGAAAAACAGCAGTTAATTATTGAAATCTTCTGAAGAGTGGATTAAGCAATTACAAGAAAATTCATTTATGAGTTGAGGTGCTGAATATAACATCAATCAAACTCAGTGATGAATTTTATTTGTATTATTCATATATAAACATTTTTATATATTTATATCTTTGTGTGTGTGTGTGTGTGTATATATATATATATATATATATATATATGCATGTTTGCATTTTGGTATATGTGTGTATTTATAGAAGTGTGTTGACATGTGCATGTAATATGTATGGGTGTGTATATTTTTATTCAGTATATAAAGTGGTGCTGATAAGTTCCCTGTGCAACTCACTTCCTAGAATCTAACCAAATGATCAAACATAAAAAAATTGTCTTTTTTTTTTTTTTTTTTTTTTTTTTTTTTTTTTGGCAATGAACTTACAGCTCTTCTTCGAATATATAAACACACACTGTGTTTCTATCAATCCATTCGACAGTTTACAAGTCCTAAATTCCAAGTTTTAATTTGATGAACATTTAATCAAAACATTTTCTTTCTATTTGCTATTACACAAATTCTATCAATTCATCTACAGGTATGAATTTTTTAGTTAAGACATTTTTGCAATATATTTTGATTTTTTTGTCTTTTATTTTATTTTTTCAGGTTAATGTAAACGTGAATGTTGATACTAAAAACCAAACCATGCAAGGAATAGCATTCCCAATTTCTAATAATGCCATTGAGATGATTGTACGATTACGAGATGGTGATATATCTTATGTTCAGCTTGTAAGTATTTATTGAGCTACATTTGCCACAGTATTTTACTTATTTTTTCATTATCATATCCACCCATTGTATAATGTTAAAAAGAACAGTTTATCTTTCTCACATAAAAATATCGATCAGTCAAACCAAAACGAAATAAAAACAGCTGTTGATTAAAATTGAGTTCTTTATGTTCAAAGCTTTACTATACAAACTTGATTATCAGGTTTGTCATATGGTGGCTGCAGACATATATTCTTCTAATTTATGAACCAATCACTTTGATTGTCCTGGGTATGACAATAAACTACATCCGGCAGCAAGGCCTTTGATCAGAAGGTTTTCAGGAGCATGAAACTACATCTTAATTGCTGTGGTTTCCAAGTTCACCCTGACTTGGAGCAGTAACACCTGTTGGGGTCCTAGCTATGGGCAAATAGTTAACTTCCAAACTGGGGCCAAAACACTATAAAAAATATAAAATAGATTTTTATACTAGAAGTGCCAGCAATACATTTGATTCTCAACAAAAACCCTCTTTACAAAAATACGTCAATGAAACCTGATCTCCTACAAACTGATTTCTTACAAAGTATACATATTCTATTCATACGAACATGTCCTAAAAATCTTGTTAGCATTAAATAACCCATTGAGGTTGATATGCCGTAAAACAAAATAAACCAAATCAGACTCTGTACAAACACTCTTTACAAAAATATGTCAGTGAAACCTGATTTCCTACAAAGAATACATATTCTATTTATATGACCATCCTGGGTATGACATCCAATAGCAAGGCCTCTGATCAGGTTTTGAGGAGCATGGAACCACCTCTTAATTGCTGGTGTTCCCAGGTCTACCCTGACCTGGGGTGATAGCACCTGTAAAGGTCCTAGCTATAGGTAAGTAGTTAAGCCCCAAAACTGGGGTCAAAACATGTAAAAATAGGTTTTAATACCAGCAAAACATTTTTGAAAAAAAATATTACCAGCTATACATTTTTTTTCTGAGAAAAAAAAAATATTACCAGATATACATATTTATTTTTTTATTTTTTTTTTGAGAAAAAAAATATTACCAACAATAATTTTGGCGGCATTAAATAACCCATTGAGCTTGATATGCTGCAAAACAAAATAAACCAAACCAATCACTTTGATACAATTCTTCAGGAGATAGGCGAACATGGTTCTCCACAACTTCCAGTCTTATGTATTTCTTAGTAAGCTTTCTTTTCACCATTCTTCTCAGTTCCTGTTCTGCCATCCATTTATACAAGCTCATTAATGAGGTGACTCACTGCTTTCTACTGCTCCTTTTGCCTCTAATATGTCCTGTGAATGTTAAATTCTTCAAACCCTCTTTCCTCATTATGTGTCCTAGAAATTTCTGCTGTCTCCTTCTGATTCTAAGTGTCCTTTTTGTTTCCATTTTCCTTAAAATTTCTTTGTTGCTTATATGTTCTGTCCACCATATTCTCAGCATCCTTCTGTAGAACTACATCTCTGATGTCTCAAGTCACTTCTTATATCTGTGAAGTAATTTTCCAGAATTCACTGCTATTATAGAAGAGAGATATTACATAGTAGTTCAGTCTTATTTTCTTTGTTTCTAATTAAATTTTCTTGTGACTTAATGCTTTTTTTTTTTAGATTTTGGAAAGCTTTGAATATAACTTTGGGTTTCCATATCACATCCTTTATTAAAATACTTCTCAGATACAGTAGAATCCCTGATCAGTGGACTAAGAAGGACTTCCAGATATGAGGAATTGGTTGCAAAGTCTGGATATGAGGGGTTATATTTAGATTTAAATAAAAGAACTATTCAATATTATACCTTCAAGGTTGTAATTTTTTCCAGCCAATTTCAACTCAAAACTGGCACTGAAGAATTATCTATCAAACAACAAAAAAAAAACCAAGATTGGATGAAAACTGTGGAAATGTATAAACAACATCTGATCACACACACATACATTTTGAGAATTTTATACATATATATATATATATATTACATGAATCATTCATACAAAAAAACAGATATATTTTTTTAATGATTTAAATTATATGAGAATACTTCTATATCTGTTTTTGTATGAAAATTTATGTAATTTTAAATTGAACACACATACATATATATATATATATATATATATATATATATATATTTAAGCAATGAAAAGTTTGGTAATCCATATGGATAATCCCAAGGAGGATGTAATCCAGAGAGCTCAATGTCAAATCAGAGCAATTATTAATTCAATTTAAATAGAAAACAGACAACCTTATGGGTCTATTGGTTATAAATATTTTCCCCAGGTATATGATTTTTACCTGGTTCCACAGATTGCACTTTCAAGGGTGATAAAATATTTTAAATTTACATATAGTTTTTATCCACTTTTTAGGGGTAGTTTAAGTTGATGTAAGGTGATATAGAGAGGGGGGGGAGGAGGAATATGAGAGACACAGTTGAAATTAGAGAGGGAAGGGAGAGATAAGAATAATTTTAAATTTATTTTTATTAAGATATTTAAGAGTAGGTGGGGGTTAGGGACCAGACATTGACCTATTTCATAAATCATCTCACAAGAAACAAGATAAACAGAAAAAAGAGAAGTAGATATAAGAAAGCAGAAGTGGAAGTAGGGGTTTGAAAAAGAAAGAAATATAAAGTGTAAAGAATAAAAGAAAAGAAAATATATACAGGGTGTCCATAAAGTTCGTGTGCACTTTAAAAAATTTATAACTAATTTTATATGGCTAAAATAACTAATATGATTTCAGGCATTACTGTAAATCAGTTGGCAAATGTTTTCCATGAACTGCAAAATCGTATTACCCTTTGTATTGCTAATGATGGAGGACATGTGGAAACTTAAATAAAATTTCAATAAAACTTTTAAAAATATAGATTTACTTGTTTTCTAATCCTTTTTACAAATTATTTCTATAACAAATACAAATAAAGTTATAAATTTTTTAAAGTGAACATGAACTTTAAGGACACCCTCTGTGTGTGTGTATATATATATATATATATATATATATATATATATATACTAGCAGTAGAGCCCAGCATTGCCCGGGGATGTAACAGTAAGAGATAGATCAAGTATCGACCATCATAAAGACTGAAAAATAAAATTGACAAAGATTATTGTTTAAGGTTGATGAACACACATGTCTTAATTAGCTTTTTTGTTGTTTTTTTTTTTTTTTTACAAATTGGTCAAACTCAAACAAAAACATTGTTTTCAATCGTTATGAGTCTACCGATTGAATAGAATTTTATTATAAACAATTGTCTTGTAAATGGAATTTTTAAAGCATTCTGAATGTAAAAATAAAGAAAAAAGTGTGCAAGACAATAAGAAACACTGCCTGCCAAAAATAAGTGAAGTTTTGTTGAAATCGGTTGAAAAATGTAGGAAATCTGATCCCATATATAAGCGAACAAACACACAAACAACCTGGGTTTTATAATAAGTATAACTTGATATGAGTTGTCCCCCTTTCATTCTGGCAACAGAATCGTGTTTTCAAATTGATTTTATGCAAAAACAATTGTTTTTCCAATTTTTGGCGCTGTCAGAACCACCGCAAGGTAATTTTACGCAGTCCTGTGAAGTTTTGTTGAAATCGGTTGAAAAATGTAGGAAATCCGGTCCAATATATAAATGTACAGACACACACAATCTGCATTTTATAATAAAATATATATATATATATATATATATATATATATATATATATATATAGTAATGATAATGCCTCATCTCAGAAACTCTAACAAAAACAATATATTTGCAATGTTTCATTTAAATGATTGATTTCTTCTTTTGTAGAGTATTGATATTAAGAATGAGAGTATTGAACTCGAACTTGCTGATAACACCCAGTTAAACAACCTTCCTTCCAAAGTGCCTTCTGATCATGCCCGCTATCATTTCTTTAACTTCAAGCACACACACGAAGGAGATTTCATGTCCAGTATTGGTAAGTAGAGAATAAAATTAACCTTATTCCCAAGAAAATACATTTTCTTTAATAATTTTTGACTACAGGCTGTCCCACAAAAAAACAAAACAAAAACCAAAAAATTTGGTAGAGTTTATTTAATTGTTGGAATTTTTGTTAATAGTTTTTTGAAACCAAAGAAAAGCATCGGAAGTTAGTAGCTTAAAACAGAACAAAAACACAAGTGTTCGATGTGTTGTTCAAACTAAAGAACGCTGCCAAAATTTTTTGGTATTTTTTTTTCAGTCCCCAAGTTGTATGTTCTTTCTTAAAGAGAACAATCACCTTGCATTGAAAATTTCATATAACTGCAGCTTCCTGGACCAACAAATGGTTAAAAAATTTATATGTTTGTTAATTTTTTTTTGTTTGGACACATTTACAAGGTACAACAGCCTGTGCAAGGCACCATTGAAGGTGGATGTAGGAGAGGATGCCAATGTAAAAACTGGTTGGACAATGTCAAACAATGGACAGGTATCATTATACTAGAATTGCTGATGGCTGCCATTGATAAACCGTTGTGGAAAAGAGTGTGGCTTCTGCATTCGGATCCGACATATGGTTACAAAAGTCAAGAGGGTGAGGATGATGATGATGATGATCAACGCAAAAACTGGTTGGCCAATGTCAAACAATGGACAGGTATGACTGTACCAGAATTGCTGATGGCTACTGTTGATAGATTGTTGTGGAGGAGATTTAGTGTGGCTTCTGCATTCAAATCATCCCTATGATTACAAAAGTCAAGGGGATGATGATGATGATAATTTCTTTAGTTCATTCATATAGTATTATATAGATTCAATTTGGATTCTCCTACAATTATAAAAGTCAAGGGGATGATGATGATAGTTAATTTTTTTTTCATCATATAGTAAATCTAAAATTTCCTGTTTTTTTGTGATGTACCCTGTAGTTTTTCTTTCAACTTTATTTTCAAATTATTTTTCTTGTTAGACCTTCTAGGAATGTTAGATGGATTGACAATCACCCCTGATAAAAACTGTAGAACATAACAATCAGAAACTTTTCTTAGATGAAACATTGTTACAAATTTTAAACTATTTTTTTCTGTCTGAATTTTTGAGATAGGGAGTTATCATTATTTTGTAATGCCCATTTTGGAGAGACTTTGTAAATCACAGTTACAACAATAGTAACACCTTCGAAAAATACTCAGTCAGATGCCACTAATTCCCATATATATATTTTTCCTATACCTGTCATGTAATCTAATTATTTCAAGATGAGGTCGACTGTGCTTCCTCTCTGGCAATCAGTGTTCAAACCCAAATGTCAGCAGTGACACTTTATTCTTATATGACACATTATTTACATGTGGCCTATTCCCACCCACCAATCTTTATTGTTGTTATCACAATGTTTTCGCCCATTGTGTTCTCTGTCCTTCATCAGGTGATTGTTGATCCAGATAACCTTCTTTTTCTTCTTCTTCTTTTGTTTTAATCATTTTACCACAAGCAAGGCAATAATAATAGTGTTGAATAAACACAAATGCACCTGAGCAAGCATCTGCAATAGACAGACAGTTATCGTCGAATACGCATGGCCAGCTATACATATACATGTGGCAAGTAATATATTTGCAAATATTTTGTGACAAATATTATTTTCTTAGTTTTATATTGTGAAGACATTATCAAAACACTTGTTCTAAAATATTTTTTCTTGATTTCATATTGTGATAACATAATTGAAACTTGTTTTTAGTTCCAAATGTCTAATTGTCTCATTTACACATTTTCTCCCTATCAGTGTTCATCTACTCAACACCTGGCTACAACATTCCAGTCAAAGAACGAATGTTATATTCCAGTTGTAAATCACAATTTCTTTTTTCCGTGGAACAAGAGCTTCAAATACAGATTGCAAAGAAGGTAAAAAATTTAAATTCTTCCTTTTAGGGAAAATGTTTTTGACAAAAGATTGACTTTCAGTCAACGTATCTTTTAAGAAATCACTTTCCTTCATAACATGTATTCATGGCTCTCAACAGAGTCCGTTTGTGGAGAGACATGATCACCTGTGTCATGTTGTTATGATCTGCAAAATAGCAGAGTATTTTTCACCCATTGCATTCTCCATAGTTTTAAATTCTGTGAAGACCTTGTAAACTGACAACCACTTAAGGCTAGAGATCCCAGTCTACCTAGAGATTTGGTCTCTATTTGACAGAGAAGAAAAATGGGCTCATGCCTTTCCCATTATTGACTAGTATTTCTTTCATCTTCATTTCTCTTGCTTTTTATTGCAACTGCCATCCATAAGAAGTAGAAGTAGAGAATATAGCTATATGGCTAAATTTGAACGACTCCTGCTGGTTAGCCTTCTTAGATGAAACATTGTCAATTATTATTCATTTTTCACTAGTATTTCTTTCATCTTCATTTCTCTTGCTCTTTATTGCAACTGCCATCCATAAAAAGTAGAAGTAGAGAATCAGGCTAGAAAAAAAAAATAAAGTGAACCAGAACAAAATTTCATTCACCTGTCCAACTCTTTATTTCACTCTACCTGCAATAAATTAGATTTAAGGTTTACTCCTTTTATTAGCACATGAACTGGTTTTGATTTCAGTTGATGTTGCCCTTGACTGGTTGCCAACCATAGTTTGAAATCCTAGCCAGTTCTGTTATTTAACCCATACCTGGGAGGAGTAGAGATCTATCTTTTTTAAGGTTATTTGTGCAAAAGTGAATGCAACAAACTTTGACAAAAATCTAACACTTTGCACGTCTTTCTCTTTACCATCTCCTAACCATGGCACTTTGATGATTTAATTAAAAGGGATCTAGGCATTTTGATGAACACTTGAAATAAATATACATTTGTACTGATCTGTCTTTTTGTTTTCTTTAAATTTTCCTTCACTTCAGATTGAAATTTCGGAAGGTTCTGAACTGACAGAAGAATTTCTCTTAGACGAGCTCCATCCAAAGAAAAACATTGCACGACAGGCTTTTGCAAAACCAAGGGGACCATCAAACAGAGGTCCAAGGCGCATGATCCGACCGCAAACGGAATCAAGTTTTAACTAAAGCTAAGAGACTTTGGAGTTCTGTTCCTGATTTTGTGTGTAACAAATTGAAAAAAAAAAAAAAAAAAATTTTTTTTTTTTTTTTGTTTGAAATAACATTTCATTCAACACTGGAAAAAAAAAAATATGGGATTGGTTTGAAAAAAAAAAAAAAAAAAAAAAAAAACTTTTTTGTCTTCCTTTTTATCTCAACTTATTTCTTGAAACTTGAATCTTCTTCAACCCCAAATTATATCTCATCGGTTTCATCGACTCTTCTTAAAAAGAGGAAGAAAAAAAATGCCTCCTTCTGACCCTCAGCCATTTGATATTTTCTTTCCCTCTGTCTTTTTGACAATCACCAAATAATGTTTTCAGGAGAGAAAAACAAGCCAAAAAAACATCTCCGTTTCATCCCCTAAATATATTTGAGATTCATTTCTTGATTAATTTTTAGATAAATTTTATAAAGTTTGAAAAATAATGACTTAAATTTCACCCCCAAATTTGCTTTCCTAAAATCGAAGGTTTAACGTTCAGATATTGTGCCATAGGTTTTCTCAAGAAAACTTGATAATATTGAGTTTCTCCTTGTTAACTAATCACCGAAGTCAAAACCATCTGCAGAAATTTGCTGAACTTTGCCTTCAATGAATCCCATTTTTGGAGACAAAAAAAAAAAGATGCAAAAATAGGATTTTTTTTTTAACATTTATGAAATGGCCGAAATCAAGATGGCTTATTTCTTTGACGTCTGTTGAATATTTCAAATTAATTTTTAATTATTTCTTTCAATTTTGGGTCTGTAATTTTTTGGAAACTTAAAAATTCAAATAGTGTTTTTTTTTTTTTTTTAAACAATTGACAAGGACATTTTTATATATTAAAATTGAACATTGATGACATTAACATTGAAAGAATCCATTATTGACGTGTGTTTTCTGCAACATGTTTCTTTATCTTTTTTGCATTAAGAATTTTTTTTTTGCAAATATATCTCATGGAATTATCTTCTTTTTTCATCCAAGTCTTTTTGTATTTTCCTCCTCCCCCTCCCGAATGACATGAAATCTGCGTCTCCTGGAACCCGAATTTTGATTTCAATCCCTTCAGTCCTCATTCAAAGCAGGTGATGAGGGCAAGGGATACATGCAACACTGAGAGGAGAAATGTGTCGGAAAAAGAAAAAAAAAATTGGTTCTAAATAAATCATGTTTTTCTTCTTTCACTTTCTTTGTTGTTTTTATAAATTTTTTTTTGGGTGGGGGGAGGAATTGAATGAAAAATGCTGTTCTACTTGAGGACATTTCCTTACATTTTTCTTTTTTTTTTCGTAACTTAGTATTTTCATTGATACAAGGTTAGTCCAAAAAGTATCCAGCCATGAGATAGAGATAGAGATATATATATATATATATATATATATATATTTTTTTTTTTTTTTTTTTTTTAACCAATTTCGCCTCCACTCAAGGGTTTACTGGCTGTGGTAGAATTAGGAACAGAAACATTACTAAGAGGGGTGGTAAGAGGTAAAGACTAATCAGGAGGGCAGTAGCTAGCGATAGACATTGCAATTAAATTTTTGCAGATTAAAGTTGGCTGGAAAGCATGTATACCAGAATGGAGTTCCACAAGTGAGAAAAGTAACTGTTAGCATAGAATTTACAGCTGCATCTAGCCAGCTCAACTTTAAATTGATTAGATTTCAACACTGCACTTAAATTAAAATAGGCTAGGTATCATCCATGAAAGTATAGAAAAGACACAGAGGCAACCTTACAGTGATAGGAAAGTGACTGAAGCTGAACTGCCAGATCAGGACTTATAATATTGCTGATTCTTTAGATTTTATCAAGGAGCTCAAGGTATATACACTGGAACAAATATCTCCATTCTCTTCATTTTCTGTTATTAAGAAGAGAGTTACATTTGGACAGCAAGTCTTTCCCAAGACACACTACTTTATGGAACAGACTCCTGAGATGATGCTTCCCTGATCATTATAATCTTGACTGTTTAGGTCTAGGGGTCAACTGTTATCTTTCCCACATATCCTCATAAACTAAATTTCATACCAACTCCTCTTACATGCATCAACCTCATTCAGTAACTGTCTACCTTGAGTGACTCTTGTATTTGGTGAACAATTAGTAAAAAAAAAAAAAAAAAAAAAAAATAGTAATAATAAAGTTAGTAGTACCTTGGTCTTCTTTAAAGTACTTCCTTATCCCAGCGTCCCTTCTGTTTTTCAAAATAATCTGTAAACGTCTTCTTTAGGGATCACCATTAGCTGCTTTGTAACATTCTCTTTAATCTCGTCCAGAGACTAAAATATTCTTTTCATTGTTTATTTTTAGCTTTAGAAAAGAAAGTTACACGGAAAAATTTAATGATGCAAGGGTTTGCTTAAATCCCTGCACAAGACGTGAAAAATGTGCAGTCAGAATATTCAAGATGGCTGCATAGTCACCAGATTTACAACTTTTCACATGCCGGTTCAATTCCTGTCAGAGGCAAATTTTATTTTTTTTTTTTTTTTTTTTTTTAGAACTCAGTTTAGGTTGGTTGTTATTAACTTCACTGTTTAATAAAATAAAAATAAAAAAACGGTAGTAATTCAAACACATGTATCAAGTAAAAATAACATTCATAGTAATAAGAAATATATATCTATCTCCCTCAATTAGCGCAGCTAATGTGTACATCAGTAACTATAAGAAAAACCAATTTTCAATTACTATGGTTAAATTGAAGAATGTTTTACCCCACTAATCAAGTATTATGTATGTACTAATTGAGTTTTGGTAGATCAAAATTTAATGCATGAATCAAAAACTCTAATTGAATCTACATTAATCAAGGGATTCAAATATATATATATATATAGTTGTATGGATATTAGTTTGTTCCACACTTTTGCAATCATAAGACAAATTGGTTTATTTATTAAAAAATGGATCTATTTGTGTTTGATTATGTTGGGGGGGGGATTATCTTCTGTGTTTGTTTGGGATGACACTCTCACATACATAGACACACATACACAGGTATATGCATTTTAGTTTGTACAAACACACCCATATAAATAATCTGAGGTTAGGCACAGATACACATCCATGTGTTTGAGCACACATACATAATTGAATATGTTAGCTCTATCACTGATATTGAGCACTGTGCATGTAAAATATATAATAATATAAGTGTACATTTAAGTCAACAGGCTGTTTCATGCTGGATGCAATCATCAGGCCACGAATTACACCCAGTATGAAACAGCCTGTAACCTCTGAGTCTTGACTTCAATGTTCACTTTTATATTTACATACGCCCTATCTCTGATATTGAGCACTTTATTCCATAAGTATAGCACACCTCAAAACTATATTTCTTTATATATATATATATATATATATATATATTTTTTTTTTAACTATAAGAAAATATTAAAAAATTAAAATCTTCAGACATACTGGATTGTAGATTAATATTCTTTCAATTTTTTTTTTTTATTATTATTTCATTTAGATTCCTTGACTAATTTTGGCCAAAATGGCCATCATCGGGAGAAGAAATAATTCTGCTTGCTGGTAGCAGTAAACTATTGAAAAAAAATAAAATATATACACACACAAGCTATATTGACAAGTGATTTTTTTTTATGTGCTGAATTTTAAATTTTTTATAGTCAACTAAGATCAAAATCTATACAGTTTTTGTTGTTTTTTTTTTTAAATTAAAAAACAGGATAAAAAAATCAGGTAATTTTAGCTGAGCCTGTTATGCAAGGTCTCCAGATCTTAAAATATAACCCTAGTGAGAATTAGAAATTTAATTATTTGCTGTAAGCTGAAAATAAACAAACAAAAAAATATCTGAGACTAACTGCCTTCATTTTTGAACAAATCTGAACATTGTTTCAAAAACAAAAATTTCAGTCAACACATTGATCAAGGGACGTAACTCTCAATTAGATCTCCATGTGATCTATTAGATAAGTGGTTCTCAAATGGTACGCCTGGGCACACTGGTTTGCCCTGGAAGATGTCTAGGTGCACCTTAGCATTCTAGAGAAATATGTGTCCAGATATATGAAATAAATATATTTATTATATTGTGGTATCCGTCTTGTTCATATTTATAGGAATTAGGCTTTTCTGCTTTCACCATAATTAGTGCAAAAAGAGAGGAACTCTTTAATGTATCAAGAGGGAAATGAGAGTTTGCCTATCAAATATACACCCAAACATTGAAGAAATCACTAAGACTTATCAGGCTTATGTTTCTTACTAGCACAAGAATGAATAAACTTAAGGCATGTTTCATTTTCTTTTTCATTTCTGTAATATTTAACTTCATTATAACATATTTTTTTTAAATTTGTATATAGGGTGCCTACAATTATTGGTAAGATTTCAAAAAGTTCAAGAACTACTATATTAGATAACTGAATTACCTTGCTGAATTTTTCCTGTTATATTTTTTATTTTTTTTTTTTCTTGGAAAAATAGTGCTACTTGACAGTTGTCCATATCTCTAAGTTGCATGTGACTTGTCAAACTGGACATAGCTGGCTTGGTTCCCTAGAGGGACCCATGTATTATGCCAGAATAGGAAATTGTCAGAACTAATATGATTTGAGATGGATCAAGATGACAGAAGTCATTTAATATGATTTTTAGTGTGCACAGACCCTGCGACAATATAAGTCAGGAGTATTGTTGATATATCTGGGCTGGATCTGTACAATCTTCACTTTCTGGCATTGATAGAGGTCAAGAGACTTATTTTCTACTCTGTAGGCTCTTGCTCTACAAATGGCAAATGTTCAGGTGAGCTCCATTCTTAATTTCAGACCTTCTGTTGTGTCGGAAACCTACCACCCCTCTTGAAGATGAACTTGTCTGCGTCTGTGAACAAAGACTTTAAATAGTGGCAAGTCAGTTGACATGGGGAAGACAGATAGTCAGAGAAGTTCTTAGCTGAGCTAGTTATTGACTACTCAGGCGATTTCTGTAC